GGTATGCAGAGACATTTGTCCTATGGTCCTTGGATCCATCGGAGTTTGTGATTCTTCTGGTCCCCCATTGAGCTTTGAAGTTGTCTCTTCACAGAGAAGTACAGCCCTGTGTCCACTGCAAATAGAGAAGTACAGCCCTGTGTCCACTGCAAATAGGAGTCCTATCACCAGGCAGAAAGTGATTTGGTACCAAGGTAGAGAGATGGATAGAATTTCTGGACCTAGTAGGAGAGGCAGAGGGATGGGAATAATAAGTCATTAAGATAGAAATTTGGAATAAACAGTGAGGTCCCCAGCAAGGAACCTTTGTAACAGTCATCCTAGCTGGGGCTGAGGTCAGGCCAAGAGCAGACACGTAGGCCAGGAAGTCTTCAGAGGATCTTTACATCTCTCTGCCTCCCAAATAAAGCACTAGATCAACATTTCCAAAAGGGTGACCTTGGTCACGTCTGTTCTGAATTTATAGAGGGAAAAGTTTCTGCAGTCACCNGACCTACAGGACATGAAGCATGATGTAGGTAAAGGGCGACCAAGAGTAAGCAACACAGAGCGACAGGGGATGAGGTCAGAGAGATATTGAGGAGCCAGATTATGCAGCATCTTGTAGAACATTTCAAAGGCTTCAGCTTTTACTCTAAGTGCAAGGGGAAGCTATTATCTAGTTTTGAGAAAAGAAGTGACAAACATGGTACACATTTTAAAAGATCACAATGGCTGCTGTGGGTAGGCTGTAGGACGGCAAGGGTGAGTGCAGGAAGACCAGTCAGAAGGCTATAGCAGTAATTCAAGTGAGAGATAATGGTGGCTTGAACAAGGTTGCAGGAGTAGAGTACTGAGAAGCAGCTGGATGCAGGAGTAGAGTACTGAGAAGCAGTTGGATTGCCGGATGTATTTTGAATGTAGAAGCAGGATTTCCTGAGGTTTTATATATTTGAGAAACCTCTGGCTAGTGTCTGAAGGCTAAATGGTGGGTGGAGGATTCTTGGCTCAGGTTTCTTTCAAGGAGGAGCTACAGGAGGAGGAAGAGATACTTTTGCCACTGCTGTTATGCCATGGTATGCAGAGACATTTGTCCTATGGTCCTTGGATCCATCAGACTTTGTGATTCTTCTGGTTCCCCACTGAGCTTTGAAGTTGTCTCTTCATAGAGAAGTACAGCCCTGTGTCCACTGCAAACAGGAGTCCTATCACCAGGCAGAAAGTGATTNGGCCTAGTTGTTTATAGGTTGAAAGAGATTCCCATAACAACATGGCTTCCTTGAGCTAATGCTGAGAGGGTCAGTGGGGAGGCATGGGAGGCACACACTTCAGAATCCTAGAGGTAGAGGGACATGGGACAAAGTGAAGTGGTTTGAATGAGGTGGAAAGGAGGGAGAGTGATTATGTCTGATAGACATATTTGTGCGGAGGAAAAGATAGCCTCTGTCCCCTGAGGGTTAAAAATCCAAGTGAATAACACCCATTTCTATAATCCCTGAGGAATGAGCTGGAATACAGCTGCATTTCCACACAGCAATCAGGTCAGCTAGAACTTTTAGGGTTCCTGTTAACATCAAAGAGGCCCATTCAGGAGAACACAGGTACTGAAGTCTGAAAAAGGTTGGTCCTCTCTGTATTCATCCTTCCAAAGCCTGAAGCTGCTTG